TTAATAAAAGACACCCTGGTACCTGTACCACAGTTATGAGTTTTATGAAAGAACCAGAATGTGTTGGGGAGACATGGGCAAGATGATCAGGAAAATCCCGGAGGGAGCTTTGGAATAATGGCAATGTCTAATTAGTAGGCACTGATCATCATCATCATAACATAAGAACGGCCGTACTGGGTCAGACCAAAGGTCCATCTAGCCCAGTAACCTGTCTGCTGACAGTGGCCAGCACCAGGTGCCCCAGAGAGGGTGGACCGAAGACAATGATCAAGCGATTTGTCTCCTGCCATCCTTCTCCAGCCTCTGACAAACAGAGGACCTAACCTCTATGAAATTATCTAGCTTCTCTTTAAACTCTGTTATAGTCCTAGCCTTCACAACCTCCTCTGGCAAGAAGTTCCACAGGTTTACTACACGCTGTGTGAAGAAGAACTTTCTTTTATTAGTTTTAAACCTGCTACCCATTAATTTTGTTTGGTGTCCTCTAGTTCTTCTATTATGGGAACTAATAAATAACTTTTCTTTATCAGCCCTCTCCACACCACTCATGATTTTATAGACCTCTATCATATCCCCCCTCAGTCTCCTCTTTTCTAAACTGAAAAGTACCAGTCTCTTTAGCCTCTCCTCATATGGGACCCGTTCCAAACCCCTAATCATTTTAGTTACCCTTTTCTGAACCCTTTCCAAGGTGAAAATATCTTTTTTGAGGTGAGGAGACCACATCTGTACACAGTATTCAAGATGTGGGCGTACCATAGTTTTATACAGGGGCAGTAAGATATTCTGTCTTATTTTCTATCCCTTTCTTAATGATTCTTAGCATCTTATTTGCCTTTTTGACTGCCGCTGCACGCCGTGTGGAAGTTTTCAAAGAACTATCCACGATAATTCCAAGATATCTTCCCTGATTTGTCATAGCCAAATTAGCCCTCATCATATTGTACATATAGTTGGGGTTATTTTTCCTGATGTGCATTACTTTACACTTATCTACATTAAATTTCATTTGCCATTTTGTTGCCCATCCTTAAAATAAAAGCTGCTTTCACAAGTTTCAAAGTCATGAATGAAATAAGAAGACTCATAGTATATATCATGTATTATAAACTGGACCACAGCAGTTACACTGCATATACTAAACATCACTTGTTTTACATGAAGCATTTCTAAATTGCCAAAATCACATGGGGAGGGCTGAGAATTAAATTACATCTGTAACATGCATTTTTCAGAATCCATTATTGTTTTATTTCATCACAAGATTTTTTTTCCCATCTTTCTCCAGCACCACCATGACGTGAAACCTGTCCAGTTGTGTACAGCTAGAGTAACATGGCAAAGGACGATAAAGACAATAAAGGGCTTAAATAGCTAAAGTTTTATCCTTATAAAAATGCATATTCTCATATTACCCTGGACTGTTAATTGATACAATTGGGAGGTTTCATAGTAGACAAGCTGCATTTGTAAATGCATGACTGAGCATGATTTAATCCTAGATTCATAGGCTGGTTCTTGACTCGACTCTACTTGTGTGTCTTTAGCTCCCAATGATACCAATGACAGTTTTGCTTGTTGATCATTTTTGTAATTTAATTAGAAAGTACCTGGATACTATGGTGATGAGGGCCATATAAGGAATTCTGTGCATATAGGAAGGACAGATTATCAGATCTGAAATTCATTGCATGGCTATTGTGCTTGATCTAACTAGGCCAAATCTACTTCTGCTTTTTTGTAAAATAAATGTATTCCCTCAGTTAATCTATAGTGAGTTTAAGGCCTTATAGAACAGCATGCAAGTTTCCTATAATGCAGCTACTCATATATATGGGTATGTCTGCACTGTAAAAATGGCCATTTTTCTGAAAAAACTTCACTTACATCCACACTGCAATCACATTTTTTCGAGGAAAAAAAAAGAACAGAAGGACTTTTTTCTGACATTGGTAAACCTCTTTCTATGAGAAGGAAGCCTTTTTCTGAAAGAGCTCTTTCAGAAAAAGGCATGTGTGGACGGGGAAGAGGGAGTTCTTTCGAAAGAAAAGGAAAGAGTAAAAAGCACAGATGCGCTGGTGGCCACGCCAGCCATAGTAATCAGAGCTTAAATGTGAAATAGTGTTTATTCAGTGTGGATGCTATCGTTTGAAAAAATAGCTTGCTTTTTCAATGCGCTTGTGCTGTGTAGATGCTCTCTTTCGGAAGAAGTTTTTTCAGAAGATATGTCTAGACTATGTTTTATTTTCAAAAGAGTTCACTACCCTGTGCAACAAAAACTGCCTTGGGACCCATCACCCTTCCTATAAAAAACCTATTGCATGGTGGTGAAAGTCAAGGACTCTACCGGTTGCTATTAGAGATTGGGGTGGAAGTGATTGTTTGCCTCCTTTCTTCCTTCACTGTACAAGTCATAAAAACCCCCTACAAAACCATGTGGATCCCTGATGGCCCAATGAAGGATGGCAGAGCCTAATACAGAGGGGTTAGAAGAAAAACATTTCTTTCTAGGGCTACATTATCTTTCTATTCCAATCTCCACAGGGCCAGTAGGGGGCAGGATATATGCCATCTCCTGACTTGTCCTTTCCCCTCTTTTCTCTGCATAGATTCAGGGGGTGGGATTGTTAGCAATGTAGCAAGTGCTGCCAGTTCAAGACTTTTTTTTTTTCTGTTGTCTATAACAATGATATCTCCAAGTGTTATGGTCCTGCTGCTGGAGGTGAACAAGATCTGATCATATGTAATCCACTAATGTAATTGCAGTATATAGAACGTGAGCCTTTTTAATGTAAACATACATGCTGGCTACCTCCTATGATAGCTCTCTTCCAACATTCTATAATGCAGCTGTTCCTAGGCTCACAATTCGAGTCCCATTATGTATACATCTACCCTTGTCATAACACTACCTCTAAAACACTCACACCGCTTGGTCCCCATACATACTGTGAAGAGGGTGGAATTTAAAATGAAAAAGAATGTTTAAATAATGTCAACAGCCTGCCTAATTTCACAAAAGGAAGGAAATTCAAAGTTAAGGCTATGGGTATATTCTTATCTATATGCCTGAGAATTTTTGTTCATGACAATATGCCCCTAAAATTCAGAGCTGTCCCTTATGTCTTTAATTTCTCCTATTGTCTCTCTCCCTTTTTTATTAGACATCAAAGTGAATTCACAACAGAGAGTCAGCCTAGAATTTAATCCTCTAAATACCTTGGAAATAGAGGTTTAGAATAGAAGTACCAATATACACCCTTAAAAATTCAATGTAATATAAAAGAGATTCTAATCACAACAGATCATTACCAAGAAGAGTAAACCACTTTAAAAAAATTAAGTGTCTTAAATATAATAAAAAGGAATAATTAAGAATCAAACAGGAAGCTGCCAAACTGACAATTTAATGATGCTGAGTAGGACTGAAAGAACTGGCTTTGCCATTAGAAAGCCGTGGAAATCTGACATTTGCAATATGGCACTCGGGTAAGTTCTGGTCATATTTTTCAAGAGAAAAGGTAATTGTAGAAGCAATAAGGGGGGGGGGGGGGGGGGGGGGGTGTTTTTTTTTAAAAGAAAATTTTTTGAAAGAGAAAGAGTTAACAACA